GAGGTTGGAGGGGTTTTGGGTTGTGTTTTGGGGGTTTTGGGGTGACTTGAGGCATATTTGGGGGGATGGAAGCATTTGAAGGGGTTTGGGGCAGATTTGGGGAGTCTTTGGGGGTTTTGGGGGTGTGTTTGGGGCAGATTTGGGGGCTTTGGGGGAGATTTGAGTCATTTGAAGGGATTTGGGGAATCTCTGGGGCAGATTTGGGGGAACTTGGGGTGAGTTGAGGCATTTTTGGGGGATTTGAGGCATTTGAAGGGATTTGGGTAACTTGGGGGGGATTTGGGGTGTCTTGGGGGTTTGGGGCAGATTTGAGGGGTGCTGGGGGAATTTGGGGCACCTTTGGGGGCATTTGGGGAGATTGGGGTCATGTTTGAGATGTGTTTGTGGAGAGGAGCAACTTGAAATGTTCTTGGGGGTGTTTTGAGTAATATCTGGGTTACCTGGGGCAGATTTGGGGTGATTTGAGAAGTATTTGGGGCATCCTTGGGGCAGTTTGAAGACAATTTGGGGTGATTTGAGGCCTATTTGGGGCAGTTTGAAGCCTGTTTGGGGCATGTTTGAAGCCCATTTGGGGCACTTTGAGGCCCATTTGGGGCAGTTTGAAACCTGTTTGGGTTGATTTGAGGCCATTTGAGGTAATTTGAGGCCCATTTGAGGCCTCTTTGGGGCAGTTTGAAGCCCATTTGGGGTGATATGAGGCCATTTGGGGCAGTTTGAGACCAATTTGGGGTGATTTGAAGCCTGTTTGAGGCCCTTTTGGGGCAGTTTGAGGCCTTTCTGGGGCAGTTTGAGGCCACTTTGGGGCGATTTGAGGCCCTTTTGGGGCAGTTTGAGGCCTTTCTGGGGCAGTTTGAGGCCTTTCTGGGGCGATTTGAGGCCTCTGGGGCGATTTGAGGCCTTTCTGGGGCAGTTTGAGGCCCCTTTGGGGCGATTTGAGGCCCTTTTGGGGCAGTTTGAGGCCTTTCTGGGGCAGTTTGACACCCATTTGGGGTGATTTGAGGCCATTTGGGGCAGTTTGAAGCCTGTTTGGGTTGATTTGAGGCCCATTTGATGCCAATTTGGGGCAGTTTGGGCCAATTTGGGGCAGTTTGAGGCCCATTTGGAGCCATTTAAGGCCCGTTTGGGGCGATTTGAGGCCATTTGCTGCAGTTTGAGGTGTATTTGGAGTGATTTAAGGCCAGTTTGAAGCGTGTTTGGGGGAATTTAAGGCCCATTTGAGGCCTGTTTGGGGCATTTTGAGTCTTGTTTGGGGTGATTTGAAGCCCATTTGGGGTGATTTGAGCCCCGATTGGGTCCATTCTGGTTCAAGACCAAACCTGACTGAATTTCCTGCCTTCCTTTTCCTTCCCTGTCCCCTCAGACACCTCAGACCTTCACTTCAAGGCCAGCAAGGACCGTTATGGGGGGCAACCTCTCTTCTTTGAGAAGTTCCCAGGGCTCTGGTCGGGAGCCCGGAGCACCCACGGGGTCACCAAAGGGAAAATCTGCTTCGAGGCCAAGGTGGGAAACCTGGGAACTGCTCCTGGGTTTCTGGGTGCAGGAATTCCCAGGGAACTGGGGAAATGGGATTTCCTCCCAGTTTGGGCCCGTTTCCTCCCAGTTTGGGCCCGTTTCCTCCCAGGTTGGGCCCCAGTTCCCCCCCAGGTTGGGCCCCGGTTTCCCCCCAGTCTGGGCGCCAGTTTCCCCCCCAGTCTGGGCCCCGGTTCCCCC